AACCCAACAAAAAAAGGCAATATGTCATTACAGCTGTGGATCCCTAAATACTGTAATCAGATATCACTAATCTGGAGAATTTGTGTGAACTCAATACAGTCGCAGTTCAACTTCAACTTGAAAAGGGGAAGATTTATTTGATTTATCACATTTTTTTTGTGCGTGCAAGTTGAAAAGCGTGCTTGATTTCCGCTATAAATTGTATCCATGCCTCATCACTCCATATTTTTAGAGGTGTGCTGACATCCTAAGCACAGTAGGATCTATACTTGACATTTTAAAGGGGCTTTTATAATTTATGTGGATGTTTGATACAACATATTTTTTCAATCTGCAGTGTGGGAGGGTCATGAATTTGAGCCTTCATTTCCTCTGCATTCTAGGAACAGCTAAGTTTAAAATGTAAACTGTATAGCTTGCATATATTTTCCAATTCTCTGCCTAAACTTAAATGGTAACTTACTGTACATTTGATAAATTTCTTAGGTAAATAATTGTAGCTGTAGTGGACAGAATTGTCAGACTTTTATCTACCTAATTGTCAGCATGGGTTTGATTAGTTTTGATATTTTGCTACTTATTGTAGCAGAATAAAAACCTTACGTTTTATGTTGCTATTTTTTAGCAAATAAAATTTATGGAAATATTCTATTACATGTCAGACAATACTGTGGTTGTCTGGTAAATAAATAAAACTTAAAATGACAGTCTTGTTACTGAGAGATACACAGAGAATAGCAGGGTTAGATGGGAATTGATGCAGCCAAATTATAACCATCTCTTTTCTGATAATCATGACCATAAATAGGGAAATTTCACTTAAATATCTCTTTCAATTTATTAATGTGTCCAGAGGGAAAAGCAGCTATTGAAACGCTGCTCATTTTTTTGTGTTTTTACTATTTTATTTGATTTTATTCAGAATTATGTTTGTGTTCTGCTTTTATGATTATTTCATCAAGAACTTGGCAACCTAGAAATGGCAAAGTCCAAGGGATACTTCCTTTTCCATCATATCTCTTAATCCCTTTATGGAAGGAGAATGTGGGTCTTTGTCTAATGTGTTGTTTCACAGGGTAGATTTTTCTTCTTAAAGTACCTGAGATTTCTCTTACACTGCAATCTCCAGGAAAGAATGCAAAGGAAGGCTCAGAGAATTTCACAACAGTTAGGGACCTTGTAGTTCTTGTAACTCCACGCTCGGCTGTTTACTTGTCACTGAGGAGAGGTTCAGGCTGAGCTCCCGGGTCCGGGATGCGTCTGCGATCGCAGCACCGGGACATGGAAGCGGCCCTGGCTGCTCCGGGTGGAGCGGGACCGAGCCGGGGAAGGTTCGTGTTCTCCCGGGCTGCGGGGTCCCTGGGGCTGCAGCTGGGCTGCGACGAGCTGGGCAGGTCCTGGTGGGGCACAGCTGGCACAGGGAGCTCCTGTGACCGGGAGTGGGGCTGGTGCCGCCCTGGCAGGACCTCATCCAGCGGGACACACTTCACGGGAATAACCACCGCGACAATCGGAGTGCCAGCCCTGCTCTGCTCCTGTGCGGGGTGTGGGCTGCGAGGACACGGTGCGGTACCTGAGGGTACAGGAGAGCTCCGGCGGCAGAGCAGGGCAGGGACGGAGCTGATTCCATCCCTGCACCTGCCCGGGGCTCCCCTGCCCTCCGGGATTCACCTGCCCGGGGCTCCCCTGCCCTCCGGGGCTCCCCTGCCCTCCGGGATTCACCTGCCCTCTGGAATACACCTGCCCTCTGGGATTCCCCTTCCCTCCGGGATTCACCTACCCAGGGCTGCCCAGGGTGTGCCCACCCAGGTCTGTCACGCTGTCATGTTTCTGCTGGGAGCACAATCTGATATTGCTTACATGCACAGCCTGTGATACTATCTGTTCAGAGCTATTCTGCATATTCTATTAATATTTAAGGTGTAATTATATTATTAATGCTTTACATCAAGAGAGTGCAGCGTTAGCTTGTGTTAACTGGATGTATTCTCCACCTGAGCACTCAGTCTTCCCTGGACCTGCCACATGCTGAACACGGAGGAACACAGATTTCTCTGTCCAAAGACACTGTGTATGTTTAATAAAGTGCATTCACTGATTTTTCACTTCACTGTGTGAAGACACTACACAAGGCTGAATGCTGAGTTTCATAGACATATACTGCTAAAATTGCCTTGCCTATTATAAAGATAAAAATATCTTTTTGTTCAAATGTTCTGCTTGCTTCTTTACAAATGAAGGAGTTAAATACTGAAAGGCAGGTGGATGCTGTAACTACTTTAGAAAAAGATGAATAGGGCTGATGGCTAAAGCTACAGGGAATCTATTGAAGGTCCAGATGCAGACATGGCTCTTACTCTACACACAGTTCAAAGTGGGGTGAAGCTGCCTGGTTAATTGGCTATGAAATAACTAACCTCTGGGAGAAAATTGCCCTGGTAGTTAATTGCTTGTGTT